AATAAATTAGTTTTTCCACTTTATGTGTTTTATGATTTCCATTACAAAATTAAATAGATTAAAACAAATCAAGTTTAAGAAAAGCTTTCAGATTTAAAAGTTTGTGATAACCATTAGTAAAATTAAAATTTCTGAGTTAAGCCTTAATGTTTATATTAAATTTACTCCATCTTATTTAGAAAGTAGAAGAGTAAGTCCATAATCATAAAATAATGTAAATATTAAAATTGTATGATTACAAATTATGAACAACTATTTTTAACTGCAAGATGAAAATTTTATTTAATTAAAATTTCAAAAGAGCATGAACATAAAACCCATACCATTTGAGCTGTAACTTGATTCTTGTTTGAAATTCATCATGGAATAATACTGTAATTAATAAAAGCACTCAAGTCTCTAAGGTATTTGGTATTATGTGAGATTAAGGTCAGGAGAACTAGATTTCTATTACATATTCTGTCACTTATGAGTTTTGTGACCTTCGATACACTTAACTTCATTGTGTCTAAGTATCCTTTATTATGTAGAGATACTAATATGTCAAAGGTTACGCCTTTTATTTATATTGTATTTTATGTGATTGTTTATATGATTTATGTATGTGTACATGTACAGGAATGTATAAATATATGAAAGGTAAGACATTCTTCTACTCAAAGTTATTTTTTCAAATTTTGTATTTATTGCTTTACCACCCATATAAACGTTATCTCAGCAATAATAGTCTACACAGAAGTGTTTTCAGTACACAAGGGGTAATTTGATTTTAGTCACTGATAACCAACTTGTTATCAGACACTGTTAGGTGCTACTTTCTGAATGCAAGAATGTATGAACAATTATATTTCTTCTAATTTTTAATAACTTTTCATAATTGCAATCTAGATGAGTGTCAACATTCACACACACACACAAATCACCAGATGATATGGTTAAAATGCAGACTCAGATTCTATAAGGTTTGGGACCCAAGAATCTGCATTTCTAACAGGTTCCCAGATGATACCCGTGCTGCCAGTGCGTAGATCATGCTTTGACAGCAGGGTGAACCTTCTATACTGACTTCTATTCAAAAGTTCCCCAGGTTTTTTTCTTTTCAACTGCTCGTTCCCTTTGGTGTTTGGTATTCTGTACTTCTTCAGAATAGTGAAATAGGTTATTTCACTATTTCCTGGTGTCGTTCCTCTTCAAGTATAATCTACATATTAAAAGATCCCCCTAAACTGTTTCATTTTTATTTTTCAGCCAATTGTGCTATCAGTTACTGATAACAGTTGTGATGGGAAAGTCTTCTATCTTTATAGAAAAAAAAAAAATCCCCTTTCTTTTTATAGCTCTAACCTCTGTAAGGGAAAGACTCACTTGGGACCAAACAAACTGATGTCAAAAGCACAGACTTCAGTCTAAATGAGCTCAGGGGCTGCAGACTGCACAGGCAGGAAGAAAATGAGGCGGAAATAGAAGAGAAATGCATTCTCTAAAGGAGTCCTGGAACTTAAATTTAGTCAACTCACAAGGGAATTTTATTTTGTAGATCTAGAAACTTATATAAATGCCCGGGATAAAAGTAAACTGTGTCATATTCTGGTATCTATCTTTATATACACTACATATGGTTTTAACTTCATCATATTAATTTGGCAAAGTACTGAGTAGTGGAAGCTCCTTGTGTCTCTTTTCCAGGTATCATCCTAGGCCTAGTTTAAGATGAGTGAAATGCCAGACAGCCTCCTGGTCCAGCTCATTGGTAAGACTCACAGAAAAATCACTATACTAGTAGTCTTCAGCAGTTCCTATCTTTCCAAACTGGCCTCCTACTGTTTCCAGCCTTATCATGGTTACCTGTTTTTGTGACACTAATGTACAAGTGTGTGTGTGAGTGTGTGTGTTCGATGTTATTAACTTTTCTTTTTAGTTTATATGTCTCCATTTCAAATGTAACCACACCCAGTCTCGAGGTACAGACTGATGGATATAATGCAGAGGTCCAAGATATTAAGCTTAGTGTCATGACTGAGTAGAATTCTTGGCTTGTCATCTTTAGAATAGGGGTAGATGTATTCTGTTTTAGGGGTAGAGAGTGAACCAATTGAACCGAGATTGGCTAACCAGAATGGTAGTCTTTGGTAGTCACTATGTTGTCTACCAAATATTTCCAGTTCATTTTTTCCAGGCATATGATAGAAGGTATGTCAATTCCTGTGAAGTTATAGGCAGCCGTGGGATTTGCTATGGACAACCAAGTGTGACCAGAAATGATACATATCAATTTGGCAAGGAAGCTTTGATGATCACAGAAGCATCTACCTCCTGAGTAACTACATCAGGCAGAGCCATCTCTGATCCATGCTAACCATGGGCTGCAAGAAAAAAAAATTGTATAAGGTTAAGCCATTATTACCAGCATAACCTAGTATCTACTCTGACTATTGTAGACTTTAATTTGCTCAGTCTCTGTCCTCCTAGTCTTTTCTGACTCTTTCCTTCTTTTTCTCTCATCTCTCCCCTCCCTCCCTCAAGCTCTAGTGCTTGCTTAAGTCTGTACCTCATAATTTGTGATGGGTGAATGTTCTTTATTCAGAGTCCCTCAATAGTCAATGCATAAGTAACTACCAAGGTCTACTCTTAAGGTCAACCCTGGCAGATGTCATACTACTCAAATAGAATTCACACTGACAATATAAATTATCTCCATATCATCTGGAAATGACTCACATTAGCTAATGACTGGCCTTCCAAGTACTGGCCATATGGTTTTTTGTTGTAAATACTGTTAACCGATGGACTACAGCCATTATCTAAATTAGCAGATATTTAAGCCTGGATGAGCAGTACAAAAATCCTTGACAGTTGCAGCATATTTCAATTCTGTTATCTTTAGCCACAGGGAAGAAAAACTGTAAGAGTTTCAGTGGCTTGTCTTTTTTTGATCTGTGCAGAATACATTTATCCCCAGAAATCCCTTTAGTGAACCACATTTATTAAGCGCGATAAAAACAACTTGAAAATAATTATAATTTCCCACTAGAGTTACCAAATATTAGTTTGTTAAGTTTATTTGTTAAACGATATATCAGGCCATAAAATAGGCAATGACATTTAGGATGTTTGTATTCTAAAACAAGTTTAGTTTTAAAAATTCATGTATAGAACCCTGCAAAAGGTAAATACAAATGGCAAAGAATTAAAATAAACAGTTATGATAACAAGAAATCTAAATATCTAAGAAAATATAGAAAAAAGTTTAACTTCATAATTAGTGAAAAAAATTAAAACTACAGAGATATCATTAAATACTATGAGACTGGCGAAAAAAAAAGTCTATGAAAGAATAAGCAAAAGGAGATGGAAAACTGAACCTCAAATATTCCTAGTGGACTATAAACTCAGTAAGAAACCAGTTTGGCAATATTTAATAAACCTCAGTTTAATTTCATTTCTAATAATATACTCTCGAGATTGTCTGCTTAGGAATATAACAATTTGATGCCATAGGCCATTCAATCTAGAAACCCCTTCCCTGGGATCTAAGGGTCACAGAAAAAGAAACTTTAACTAGGCTGGGGTATTGGCAGTACAGGAGTCTAGCAAGCTGTTCCAGAAGGGTCTGCCTTAACAATTATAAATGATAAGGTGTATCTAGCTTGTTTACTGCTTATTGCCAACTCAAACGTGGTGTTTTTTTGATGGATTAGTTGAAAGTCCATTCATTCAGCAAATACCTCAGCTGCATACAGTTTATACAGCATACTATTCTCGTATCACTCTAAAAGCCCTGCACTTAAAGTGACTGCTGCATATGTATAAGATGATAAAGTGCACAACGGAACAAGGAGTCCTGCCAAAGATGAGAAAGTGGGGAAATTCCATAACCTAGGAGTACAGCTTTTAAAGGAGAAACCTCTTGTTATTTGACTTCTATCTTGGCACATTCAGTAGTTACTTATGCATTGACATATTGACTCTTGGCACATTTTATAGTGGCAGCTAGTTTTTAAGGTCGCAAATTTCCTGGGTGCAAATCCAGACACTGCCTCTTACTGACTATATGATCTTAGATAAGTTATATAACTTCTCTCTGCCTCAGTTTTTTCATCATGAAGTGGAGATAATATTTATCTCCATGGCTGTGTGATTGAGTTAATGTATAAAATATTATAGTAGGCTAAATCATGGCCCCCAAAGATATCTGGTCCTAATCCCTAGAATCTGTATGTTACTTTATATGGTAAAAAGTGTCTTTGCAGATGTGAATAATTTAAGGATTTGGAAATGGGGAAATTATCCAGGTGGACCCTAAATGCAATCACATGTATCTATATAAGAGGAAGGCAGAGGGAGATATGACCACAAACTGACAGAGAAATAGGTGATATGAAGATGGAGGCAGAGACTGGAATGATGTGACCGCAAGCCAAGAAATGTCAACACCCACCAGAAGCTGGAAGAAGCTAAAAACAAATTCTCCTTTAGAGTCTCCAGAGGAAGTATGTCCCTGCTGACATCTTAATTTTGGCCCAGTGATACTGATTTCAGACTTCTGGCCTCTAGAACTGTGAGAGAATAAACTTCTATTGTTTTAAGTTACCTAGTTTGTGGTAATTTGTTACAGCAGGCCCAGGAAACTAATACAAATACTTATATCTATGCTTGTAACATGGTAAGCATTATAAAAGTGTTTGTTATTAGTATTCCAAGAAAATGGTCAGACCTTCATACTCTGAAATACTGAGAGTCAGACAGCTCAAGGACCATTAACTGTGTATTTTCAGGGAATTTGTTTGTGTCTGAGCACAGAAAGGGGTTCCTGATAAAAACTTACTCTTATAAGGAAAGTGAATAGAATATGCCATGTGGCAGTCCATCTTCTACCAGCAGACCTTTTAATCAGATGGAATAAGAGAGAAGAGACACCTGTAGCTTCAGAGGGGACAGTGGCAACATTCCAAAGCCTTCCCCTTTCACTTAATTAAGAATATGTCCTATTTATATTTCAGGCAGCAAAGTCACCTGGAAGGGTATGTGAGATATTTGTCAAAGCTTTGAAAATGGTTGCTGTTTGGAAAGCTAAAATTTGCTTTCCAAAGAATGATAAGAAACTCATGCAAGAGAAGATGGTCTACTATAGTGATTAAGAAACTTTGGAGTCAGATAAACTGATCTCCAACTGAGTTCCTACTCTGCAGTTATAAGTTACATGAACCCAAGCAGCCATTTCACCTCTCTAGGCCTCAGTTTTCTTGTTAAATGTAAGGAGTGGGAGGAGTGAGGGGAGGAAGGAAACATTGTCTCACTGGATTATTGTATGAATCAAATTAAATAGTACATGTAAAGTGCTTGGGCTTGGACCTCATAAGCAGTAAATATTTAATAAATAGTATCCAAAAAAAGGTGAGGCCAAAGCAGTAATTAATTCAGAGACATAGAATATTAAGTAGACAATTGACTTAAGTAAGGCTAAGGGAAAGTAAAAAAAAAAATTGTGCACAAAAAGTCCCATTATATTTTATATTAGTTTTAGCCTCAAATATTGTTTTAATTACTCTATAAAACTTAAGAATCCAGTAGCACAATGTTTGGAGGTATGATATTAACATTGAAGAGGTTGTTTCTAAAAATAAAAGTAACAAGAAATAGTACAATTTTTTAATAAACTTAAATTGGGGCAAATCCTGCCTGTGAAAGTAGAGGCTGGCATCAAAACAACATTAATTATAGAAATCCTCTTTTTGCTAAATTTCAGCTCCAGAAAGGAGGTTATGAGAAATCACTTTAAACTCTTCATCACTAGATTTTAAAATTTAATGGTGATGAAACCACTGACAATATAAAGTGGCCACAGAGGCTGCGTAGAAAAGCCAGACATGTATCACATAAGTGAAGAAAGCACAAGGCCTCCCTATCTGATTCAGTCACAATGCTCACGTATTGAAAAACACCCCAAGACTGTAAATAATGGAGTGGAAACTTGAGGCAGTTGCCACCTGCTGCCTTCACTAAGCAAAGTCAAAGATGGAAAGCTGGGTTTGGCTACTCTGTGATAGTTTGTAGCCCTTATTCTTTGTTGTGCACCAGAAGCCATTCTCTCCCTCTTCCTTAGTACTAACATACTTACTTTTATGTCTAAAGGTGGGCACATGACCCATTTCTGGCCAATGACATGCCAGGAGAAGTTTGCTCAAGGGTTTCTGGAAAAGATTTTTTTTCTTCAATAATGGCAAAGGAAACAGAAAAAAATGTCCCTCCCTTGTACTGCACTTGCTTCCAGCCTCTGAATACAGTTGTGTGATGCTTGGAATTACAGGGCCGATCATAGGACCATGAGAGAAAGGAAGAAAGAACCAGAGAGACACCAATCTTAAGCTATGACGTAGTTGTTGAGCTGCTGCCCCCAATGCAGCCCCTCCCTCCTCTGGACTTGTAGTTACATGCAAATATAAACTATTTGTCAGGCATTCTGTTTCTTGCAAGTCAAAGTATTTGTAATTGATATAATATACATGAATAAATTCAGATTGTCAATAATTTAGGAACAGGGACCTTGGAACACACTAAAATGTAACTTTAGTCAGCCTTCCGTATCCTTGGATTCCACATCCACAAATTCCAAGAACTGTGGATCAAAATATTTGGAAAAAAAAAAGTCAGTTGTTGCTGATGTGTACCATACCATTATACCTACACTGATGGTTGAGTCCGAACTGAACATGCACAGACTTCTTTTCCTTGTCATTTGTTCCTAAGCAATACAGTACAACAACTATTTATACAGCATTTACATTGTATTAAGTATTATAAGTAATCTACAGATGATTTAAAGTATATGGGAAAATGTGAGTAACTTAAATGCAAATCCTATGTATTTTATATAAGGGACTTGAGCTTCCATGGGTTTTGGTATCTGAAAAGGTCCTAGAACCAAGCCCCATGGATACTGATGGGAAACAGAATATTGCAACATCTTTGGAGAGGGTGAAAAATGACTTCAAATACTCAACCAAAGGATAAAAAGAATGCTAAGATAAATCAAATTTAGTTATTCATTTATTTGTTCAAGTATTTACTGAGTTTATATGATTTGACAGACATTGGAATTGGGAATACTAGTGAAAGAGGAAGACAAAGCCTTCATGTAAAATTATGAAAAAGATGAAACCCGAATGGCAAGATAAATTTTGGAGACAATGGGAGT